TTTTAATGAAAGTATTAAGACTTTATTAGCAAAGAAGTATAAAAACTTTTTGCAAACATCTTTTTTGTGTGTGGTCAGAGGATTAGTGGAAAGAGTTTTGATTTGATTTTTAAATAATAGTCAGAATTTAGAATAATTTATAGTAATAATTTATAGTATAACCAATAATTTTATTAATATATTGTATAATTAATTCAAAGTAATAAATAAACAAAATATTATTCTTTAAGTTATATTTATAAAAATAAGTTTTTTATAATAAATAAGTAAACATATAATAATTACTAAAATTTGTAAATATCTAGAATATATACAAAAAATATAATATACATATATTACATTAATCTGACTATAAATTAAAAAAAATCAAAATATATAAGTAATAATGAATTTCTAAAGTATTTAATATATAAATTTTCATTGATCACTTATGTTTCTTTTTGAGAAATAAAATTTATAACTCTTTATTTTAATAGGAACAAAATTTAGAAAATACTATAAATAAAAGATTTTAATAATAAAGAACTATTCTAGATAATTTTTTTATAATTATTAATTTAAAAATTTTAATGTTTTCTGGTGAGGAATATTTGATTTTTGTTCCTGCTTCTCTCTCTAAGAATCCATCTTTATACATAAGTATAACTAATAAGAGCTTGTTTAAATTCCAAAACTTATAAAAAATTTAAGATTAAAAATAAAAATTTTAAGAAAATTATAATAACTGATAAGAAGAAAACCAAATTTTTCTATTATAAAAAAATCTCTATAAATAACTGATTTCAAAATAAAAAGATTTCAGATACTATATAGTTAATTCTTTTTTTTTTAAAAACTTTCTCATCATTGATAGTAAAAATATTATTTGATTTTTTTTTTGATTATTAGAAGTTAAATTTTTGATTAAAGAGATTTATAAATAAAAAGAAAAGTATAACAATAACTTTTGAAAATACTCCAAGTTTTTTTAAGAATAGTAATAAAGCTTTATTAATCAAGAAGTTAAAAAAACTTTTGACACGCATCTTTTTGTATATCAATGGAAAGAGTTTAATCTATTGATTAATAAAATTATCATGGCCAATTAAATAAAATAAAATAAATAAATAATAAATTCAATTATTAACGAAAAATATGTCGTAATATTTAAGGTAATCAATAAATTCGAGTTACATAATAGATTTTTAACTGCTCTTCTTGGACTAGTCAAAAACCTTATCTTTGAACAGGTTTTCGACTGGCGGTAAGTACAAACGTTTTTAATAGATTATTTATATACCAATCAAGTTTGCAATTAGATTAGTGTTGCTCCTGAAAAAGACTGCTATTCTATTTTGAAATAGGGAATGAAAACTTTGGCAAATCGATAGTAAAAATTTTCAGTTTTGGAAGTGTGACAATTTTATTCACGTGAAATGGCTTAATCTAAATGCTTTAAAGTGTAAATCTAAACCCGAATCGTAGCAATTATTGGTAATCATGTCGCACATTCTAAGGGCTGCAGTTGTCCCCTGAAGGATCTATACAATATATAAAAAACACATCATTTGAAGTCAACCGTTCTCTCTTTAATTTGGATCATTTATTATGTCGCGAGAACATCATGATGATAGTCAGCCAGAGAATAATGAGCCTTCTCGTATAAGCAACTCTGGGACGGACCAAGCACTGGATCCCAGAAGAACTTCAATATCTTCTGTCAAATCAGGAGATTCTGGAGCAGGCTTGCGTAGTCCTGAGGGGCAACCATCGAGCACCACTGCAAGAGTTTCACTTCCTAATGCACCGAATCCACACGCTCGATCTCGCCCGTCTTCCTCGAACGGGAGCGCGAGAGGAAATTCTCCGCCACCAAGATTAACGCGGCGCAAATCCTCATTTATAGTGTCAGGTGAATCGTCGGAAGATCCTGACGAAGATACCGATGATTCTAAGAAGCGGATCAGAAAAAAGAAACATCGATCTCATAGGAGTCGCAAGCACAGCATTACTCCTAGTGGAAGTATGGTGGACAACGAGGGGGCGAGCCATCGTTCGTCTCACCGTGATGAAGAAAATAATGATCAGGACGATATAGAGTTTAGTGGGAGTGATCATGAATTTACACTCAAAGACAGGCAAGAGGTGAGTGCACCATACTCTTCTTATTATGATTAAGTAGTTGAAAGGATTGAAATTTCGTCAATAGCGTGAAATGTTAAATGTTAAGACCAATCGACTTTTGCTGTAATCTCAGACGATTAATACAACACATCCATTTGGTCTTCCTCTGTGGAAACCTGCTTTGTACAAAAAATCTCGCTCTGTGATTCGTGACGCCAATTCAGCGATACATTCGATGCCATCGCCAGAATTGTATTTGTATCCAGGGAACATACTTTGGGCGATCATATTTGGATGGTGGTTGGCCTTAGTTTCTTACATCCTATCGATTTTTCTACTTTTAACACCATCAGGAGGTTGGCAATATTCCCGGGTATTACGAGAACTTAGTTATTATATTTTTTGGCCTTTTGGCAGATATGTGGAAAGAATGGATGAAGATTGGGAAGAGGAGGACGAAGAGCGGGGCGATATTTATGCTGGGGATAGCGAGTTTCAAATTGACGAAGATCATCCGTTATTGGGACGACGAACAAGTTATGGAGATTTTCTCAGAATGAAAAGAAACAATCAAAGTCTTCTCAGTAAATTATGCGAAATAGGACCAGCCGGATTGGTTTTCTATTTTTGGTTTTTCTTAGTTTTAGGTAGGATAAATATCAATTACTCAGAAGTTATGTTTTGCTACCGATTTAAAGATTTATAATATTTAATCAATTTCTAAAAACTTTAGCCCCCCTGTTTCTTTTGGTTTCTGCTTTGTGTTGGCTTTTCATTTTTTCCATTCCCATGGCAAAAATCACTTATGTCATTACAAAATGCCTAAAGAGACATCCACTATCATTGCATTTTAAACCTGGTTCAAGCAGAACATTAATTGCTACACATAGATCAAGAATTTTATTGTGTACATACAAAGCTATCGGGTTTCGATACTACAAGTACACATATGACGGAATCAATATCATGTTTATTAATCTCATGCCTCTCGTGTTTTTCCTCATAATTAGCTATATGCTCGAGAAACTGAATCCAGATTATTTCTCTCTCCCATCATCAGTTTTTTTCACACTCTCCGTTCTTTCGGTGATACCAATTTCTTATTTCATTGGAATGGCAGTAGCTTCTATTTCTGCACAATCTTCTATTGGACTTGGTGCGGTGATTAATGCAACCTTTGGTAGTATCGTAGAAATTATTTTGTATGCATTGGCGCTGATGGAGGGTAGAGGAAAACTAACGGAAGGTAGCATTATTGGGAGTTTAATGGCGGGCGTGTTGCTTATGCCAGGCTTGAGTATGATAAGTGGCGGAATGAAGCGCAAAGAACAGAAATTTAATGCAAAGAGCGCAGGTATAAAAAAATCATAATTTATTTTTCGAATATATTTATGCATTGAACTCATGCTTCATTAAAATCCCAGGTGTGACTTCGACTATGCTTATTATGGCGATTATTGGAGCTTTTACTCCTACTTTATTTTACGAAACTTATGCGCCGGTAAACTTTGACTAAGAATTCTTGCGTTTCGCTGCATGGAGCTTGTCGAAAGACTAACTGAAATTGAAAATATAGTACAAAATGAAATGCTACTCGTGTGCGAAAAGCCCCGAAGATTCTTGCCAGACTTGCGTGCATTATTCGATCGATCCAGTAACCACTCCATTCTACAATAAATACGTCGTTCCTTTGATGTATTTTAGTGCTATAACTTTACTTCTGGTATAAAGCAATTTGTAAATTATAATTTATGATAAAATATTTAATTTAAATTTTTTTAATAACTGAATTCTAACATTATATTTTTCTCAACCTCATTAGTCATACCTCATTGGTCTGTGGTTCACCTTGCGTACCCATGCTTCTCTGGTATGGCAAACTCCTCATCCTCACTCGGAGCATGAGCTAAATCGAAATCACAGCAACTTTACTCCGAAAAATATTCTGCAACAATTATTACCTAATTCTCAAAACGCGTTGCATGCGACATCCACAAACTCTGCAGATCAACACCCGGTTACCCCTATAATCACAATTCCGACGGCGGTAAACGATAATTTGACAAATGACGAACAGAATCTCCATATTACGGTGAGATCTTTCCCATCACAGTCGCATCATGAAGACGAGGAGGAAGAAGAAGAAGAAGAAGAAGAAGTTGCTGGCCACGATTCGCCAAATTGGGGTAAAATGAAGAGTGGAATTGTTTTAATATCCTTCACGGTGCTTTATTCCATTGTAGCCGGTATGTCATTACATAGACATCCTGAGATTTTCAATTTATTCAATTTATTTTCTGCTTCTTTTTTAATATGGATTTATTTATATTACAGAAATCTTGGTGGATAATATAAACGAATTTCTAGGACGCTCAGGAATGACTGAAAAGTTCACAGGTTTAACACTGCTTGCATTGGTGCCAACTGTTACCGAATTTGTAAATGCAATATCGTTTGCGTTAAATGGCAACATCGCTTTGAGGTAACGGATTTTCCTGTTTTAATTTATCGTTTCATAATCAATCCGGATTAATTTATTCTTATCTTTTTTGGGTGATATAAAAGTATGGAAATTGGCTCTGCATATGCTTTACAGGTATGCCTTTTGCAAATTCCTGCAATGGTTGCATTTTCGGCTTGGTACAATCATGGAAGGAACGGTGCCGAGCTAAAAAATCGCACTTTTACGTAAGTCATCCATCTTTACGGTTTTCATCAGTTACTAGCAACGAATCGTCAACTAACTTACCTTGTGACCTTTAAGTTTGGTGTTTCCTAGATGGGATATGTTTGCAGTAATATTCTCTGTATTCTTGTTAACTTACACTTACATCGAAGGGAAGTCTAATTACTTTAAGGGATCAATCTTAATTCTTAGTTATTTAGTATTGATGGCAGGATTCTATTGGGCTCCTGATAACGTTGAAAATTATTAATTATTTATTTACGTATTTTGTAATTGATCTAATCTTTTTACAGTACTAATTTTAAATAATGGAATTTTTAACGAATGGATTTTACTGTATACTATGTATATGCATATATTGTAATTCATGAAACTTAACATTTTTGATAATGATCAAAATGTGATTAAAATATCATTGTTCAATTGGCTAAGGTTTATGTTTAATTTGAACAATCAAATTAGTATATTATAACTCTTTTCTATAAATATTTGTTACTATTTCTAGTTATTGAAATAACTTATTTTAAATATTACGTGATATTGATAGATTCCAGAATTTCATTTTAAAACTATAATAATTGTTTAAATATTTTTATAAATTCTCCAATTGTTTTGAAAATTTAAATAATTAATTAGTAAAAAAGATATTTAATTTCAATTAAATTAATTATAATACAAAAAATATCGATAGTAACTGTACACCGTTAAAATTCTATATTGGATTTTTCCTTTGAAGGTCAAGTCTAATAGCAGGTCTCGGTTGTTGCACTCTTCTTTGTTGAAAACGTGTGTTGCCCACTTCTTCTCTACCACCATAGCTATGCCTGCTCCGTACGTTTGTTGTGTTGGTTTGATTGTCCATATGTGATATCTGTCTTCGACATCTCTCCACCTCTGGTTTTCTGAAGTTTTTGCAATTCAAATAAAGTTTTTATTTTATTTAATTTTATATAGTTTTTATTTTTTAATATGTTTTTATTACCTATAAAATAGTAATAATATAAAATAGACATTGTAATTATTTATTAAATAATTAAATAATTATTTTGGTACTTAATATAAAATTTTTATTTAAAATTTTTATAAAACATATCTTGCTAATTTTAATAAGTTTTTTTATATTATACTTATTAATTTAAATCAATTTTATGGTTATATTTAAAATATTTATATAGATTAAAACTCTTAGTTAAGCCAGATATACATGTTTTATTATGATTTATATACAGTTGCTTCCAAAAGTTTGAGTCCACTTATTATGTTTTTATTATAAATTTTAACTTTGACAATTTTTAAAT